GACCACATTAATTACCTTGTTGTCTCTATTTAGGAAGGCAGATTTCACAAGTTTAAAGGACGAAGTTAGTGGAATACATTCACTTAATAACAATTTCAATAAGATTAATAATTGAACTTTTGTAACAGTTTCCTGTATATATTATTTTTGAACTTTTATCAACATTTTTCATCTTTATCTTCTTCTTTTTTTTCTTTTATTGACTTTAATCAACACAAAATTCATAAGTTAGTGTGTTACTATTGTTGTAATATCCCAAATTTTTGGGAATTTTATCATTTAAGTTGAGGACCTTTGCATGAGAAAATATTATTTTGGGGCCTATTAGCTAAAATACCCAAAGTTGAGGGACTTAAAAGAGTACAAATTTGGATAAGGATCAATTATTTTTTTTCTCCTTTTCCTCTTTCTTCTTCAGCCCGATTCTGCTCTTCTTCTTCTTCTCCCTACACAAAACAAGAAGTAAGCTGCCCGCAGCAGCCCTCCCTTGAAGAAAAACTGGTAAAGCTTGGTGATTTCTCCTTTATTTTCTTGCTCAATAACAAGCTTTAGGATTTAGAACTCTCTCTCTCAACCCAGAAGTTCTAGATCTGCTCTGCTCTGTCTTCACCGCATGTTGCTCTTGGAGTGGGTGCAAATTTCTCTGATTTTTGGGTAAGAAATAGCCACTAATTCCTTTGTTCTTCCTTGAATTGGCTTGGGTTAACTTTGATTTCTCTTGGTTTCTCGAATTTTTGGGTAGATTTCCCGAATTTCCCCGTGCACTTCCTGCTGGCTCTTCCCCAAACTGCAGCTTTGGTTTTGCTCGAAAATTGTGGTATGTGGTAGCTTCTCTAAGTCCAAATTTTACCCATTTAATTGTTGAAATTAAGCCATCTAATTGCTGCCTATGTTGTCCGAAAATCTGTTTGAAATAGGGGAGAAATTTGATAGTAATTAGACCATGATTTAGCTTAATTCATGTAGAAAATTAGTTTATTTTGGCCGCTGTGATTTTTGGAGAAAATCCCGTGAGATTAGCTATGGTTTTGCCAATTTTTGGAAGTTGCAGTTACTGTTCATTGCGTGATTACTGTTCATGAGTACTGTTTACGGTACTGTTCATGCACTAATGGCCAACAATAAGAGGCTTTAAATGTGTAGTTATATTGAGAACAAATTTGGATATGTCCGGTCATATGGAGACTAATAGAAATAGTATCGTGATTAGGGGTGATCCTAATGAAGTTTTCTCTTTGAATTTGTGATAATACGGTATTAATTCTGGGGTATTTTGATTAGGTTCTTGAGTGTTCTGTTACTCGAGTACTTGGCTTGAGTTTCGGATTTGAGGTAAGTAAATTATGGTAATGCCTTCTAATTTTAAAGCATATTTTAGCTTGTTTTTGAAGTGGTGGCGGGACTAAACCCGTTTTACACAAGTATGACTGATTTGAAATGAAATTATTATTCTTTTTATTGATTTGAGCATGCCTTCTTGGAATTTACTTAACTGCCCTGATGATTTGGAAATTTTTTGTGAATTATGATTTTCCTATTAACTTCTGCCTGTTTTGTCTCCGATATGGTCATATTATTTGTGTGCCCGCTGGTGGGAGGTTTATAAATGCTAGCACATGTCAACATGTTATTGATAGAACTGGTTCGTTTCTGTTATCCTGCTAATGGGATTATATACTAGTAAATCGTGTGCCTGTCAATGGGAGGTTTATAACACTGGCCATGACCTATAGAGGAGACATCTATTTCGTTTCCATACTCGTACCTGTTTTTCGTGATTATACTGGTTGGCATGCTATAAGTTTAATTAAGGGCAATCCATATTTTACTTACTGAGTTATCTCATAGTTTTTCCTTGTCCACCATTTCAGGAAGCAAAGTCAAGTACAGGGAAAAACAAGGGGAGTGACGAGTTAAAAGGCTAGCTATTGTAATTGGATATGAAATTTTAGATATAAATCATGATCTTGTAAGCTAGACGTTATTTAGAGATTTTATGATATCAGAGCAAATTTTATAACTTTATTTTCAGATTCCGGTGGTATCAGATTGTGGTATGATAAGTTCCGAGCCTTGTGCATTTGTGGGACTCTCTCATAAGTGCACGGCGTCTGCCACGTCCCCGAATTTGGGTTCTGGGGCGTGACATATTTAGTGGTATCAGAGCTTAGATTTAATTAAATACCTAACTTTAATTGAATACCTATGATTTGTGTAGAATTTGGCTGGTCAATGGATTTTAGAACCGTGGTGAGATGAGTGATGGGGTTATATAAGGGACGATTTTGATCCATGTTGCCTGAATTTTTGATCCATTTTGATGAGATGGTAATCTAATTGTTCTTGTTTCTTGCCTTCATACCTTGTGTAGATTCATGAAATTAATCTTGTCCGCCATGTTCTTAAGACCTTGTTTTGAAACTTGGTCATTTTCTGATAGTCTGCACTTGTTTAGACTTGTTACTTGAATAGAATTTTTGTATGCTCTTTTGCCACAATTGTAAAATTTGGGGAGTTGCAGAGATCTTTTGTTATTGATCCTGTTGGTCTCTATGACACAACTGGTTGAGAAATTTGTTCTGTTTGTCACATGAGCAGTGGAAGATAGGCAACCCTCTACTATGTAAAAGATTCAAGGCTACTTTAGCAATGTTGTGTGTTTTCTAGATGAGTTTTAGGAGTTAGATAACTTGGTAATTTTGCTGCTCATTATCTTTCTGAAAGTCTTATAGTGAAGTTTCACTTTTTCCATTTGGAGCTTCATGGTCTTTTCATGTGGCTCATTTTTCTATATTGGTTAATCAAAAACAGTGATCAATTCAATTGAAATTGCCATGTTTTTGTGAAGATTAGCAAGCTATCATAAAGTTAAACTCTCTATTGTTGCTAATCTCTATATTCTTGATACCTGGAACTACTTGAAACTCTTGAAATCCGTCTTGAATCTTTCTTGAGATTGCTTTGTACTTGCTCTTGAAACTGAAATCCAAAGGAAATGGATAATGATTATTGAAATCCTCATTATCTTGATACTTGTCTGAAATTAATTCTTGCATTGTTCTTGGA